CTTTCTTTCTTTCTTTCTTTCTTTCTTTCTTTCTTTCTTGGGCTGTGTTTGAACCCACCAACTCCGGTATATGAGGCCGGCTGCCCTGCCCCTTTGAGACATAGGTGCTGCCCTTCTTCTTTCTTTGTTTCCTGCCTTCCTTCCTTCTTTACTTCTCTCTCTCTCTCATTATTTTTCATGAGACAGATTCTCAGTTTGTTGCCCAGGCTACAGTGTCATGGCCTCAGCCTAGCACACAGTGACATCAAACTCTTGGGTAGAAGGGACCCTCCTGCCTCAGCCTCTGGAGTAGCTATAACTAAATTCAAGGGCCACAGTGCTTCCCTACCTTTTCTATTTTAGTAGATACCAGGTGGGAGGTTGTGGTTGAGGGTGTCTTCCAGTTGCTCAGGCTTGTTGTCAACTCATGAGCTCAGGGGATCAGGCCACCTTGGTCTCCCAGATCATCGAAATATTTTAGTCATGTGTGGAAAACGTCATTAAGCTTTTCTTAAGTATTGACCTTATCAGGGTTATTGAGGAGAATCCAATCCTCAGGCCCCAATGATACATAGGAATAATGGCAGGAAATTTTGTATATCCATGTTTGGTGGCAAATAGCACCATAATTATGCACAGATCTCATTTTTGCTTATCAGGTTTCACTAATGATTGTGTATTTAACGTGTGGCCCAACATAACTCTTCTACTTCCTTTGTGGCCAAGAACACAACAGTTTGCACATGTCCGGCATGGAAGTCAAAAATGTTAGAACTTTTCAGATAGGCTGATATTTCTCATGATCATCATAAATAACTGCAACTACAGAGTATACTACTGAAGACATTGCCTAATGAGATTTTTAGAGATGACCCTCAATGAGCCCCCTACCATCTGAAACAAGCCTATTCTAGAAAAAGAAGTAAAATATCACAAAAAGTAAAACTGAAAATTATGTAACATACCTGTCAGGTCTGTCAAATCACTGTCGGATCATTGGGCTCTGGTTCCTAGTGTATATGGAAGGGTGTTGAATACCTAGGCTAAAGATACAAACAAAGTTTAAAAAGCTGGAATTGAGTGTGGACAAATGAACCCCACACTTCTGTAAAAGTTTGAACCTCACAACAAACCCTGACAGCCAATACACCTGCTTAGCAGGAATAAGGTTAGGCTTATAGATGGTAACCCAGTGCAACATCCATTGTGATGTCATCCATGGTGACCATGTAGTGACTTTATTTTGTAATGTCCTGGGATCCAGGCTTCTGTACAAAGATACAAAGTTGCCTTTTCTGCACACCTCAGCTGTTGTCTCTCAAGTGTTTGAACCAGGATACTTCTAAGCCCTCCATTCACAGACAGAGAAGTGATCTCTCATTTGTGATTTATTGATTCTATTGAGCTTTGTGATGCCTGGCACTAGCCGGACACAGCAGTTGAGATTTTGTACAGTAGTATTGTCAAGCTGCATCACAGCTGACAAAACTGAATGGAGTGAATTTAGTAGGATGCTATTTATTTCTTGTTTTTTCTTTGAGGCAGATTTTCACTTTGTCACCCTTGGTAGAGTACATGGCATTATAGCTCGGAGAAACCTCCAAATCCTGTGCTTAAGCAATCCTTTTTCCTCAGCCTATCCAGTAGCTGAGATTCCAGGCACCTGCCACAATTCTCTGCTATTTTTTGTTGCAGTTTGGCAGGGCTGGGTTCGAACTCACCACCCTCTTTATATGGGGCCAGGGTGATATGCACTGAGCTACTGGCACCACCCATGGGATGCTATTTCAAGAAACTCTTTTGACACCTACCCCAAAAGATCCATTTGAGAGGAGCTTATAAATTTACTCTGCCTGCCTACAGCCTTAATTTGGCCAAACCTTGACATGTATTAAGCATGTCTACTCTGCTTGAACCACCAAGGCAACTCTGACCATTTTAGATGATGAAAATATTTCTTGGTTTGTCTGTGAATGGGTGTGTGTATGGGTGTTTTTGAGATATGGTTTCCATATGTGGCCCCAGCTAGTGTTGTGTGGTGTCAGACTAGATCATAGC